ATGGATACCTAGGCCTGATGGCTTCTCTATGCATGTGGAAAGGTGGACAGTGCTACCTCCTCTTGGAGTATCTCCAACAGCCCTCTCTGCCTCTCCAGGTATATGTGCTCAAGAGGCCTTACGTTGATGAGTTCCTGAGACGAATGGGGGAGCTCTTTGAATGTGTTCTCTTCACTGCCAGCCTAGCCAAGGTACCCAAGAGAGGATGGGAGGAAAGAAGAGGAGATGATGCAGCAGCCACAGGGGACCCAACACAGCACCCAAGCTAAGACCTCTCTTCTTCTTCCAGTATGCTGACCCTGTGACAGACCTCCTGGACCGGTGTGGGGTGTTCCGGGCCCGCCTGTTTCGGGAATCGTGTGTGTTCCACCAGGGCTGCTACGTCAAGGACCTCAGCCGCCTGGGAAGGGACCTGAGAAAAACCCTCATCCTGGACAACTCGCCTGCATCTTACATCTTCCACCCAGAGAATGCAGTGAGTAGTCACACAGGCCCCACAGCCTCAGGCTGGGATGAGGGGCTTCACCAGAGTGCACCACCCCAGTGTGGCCCAGCAGCCTCCAGGGTAGTACTAGCAAGGAAAGGAAAAATCAGGTTAACATCACCTTTTCCCACCCCAGGTGCCTGTGCAGTCCTGGTTTGATGACATGGCAGACACAGAGTTGCTGAACCTAATCCCAGTCTTTGAGGAGCTGAGTGGAGCGGATGATGTCTACACCAGCCTTGGGCAGCTGCGGGCCCCTTAGCCTTCTTGCTTCCAAGAAACGGCCATCCCAGTAGGGGACTTTGCTACACTGTGCCTTTCTGGTCAGCCTGACTGACTCAGCCGAGCAGAAGCTGGAGCACTTGCCCAGAGGGTCTGGAAGGAGCTGGAAAGTGGTTGACTTTAGGGCAGGTTAGATGCAGAGCAGGCAATCAGAGCTGTTTGCACCCTATATTTGGTTTCCAGGGGAGAGAAAGAGAGCGTGTGGGGTGTGTGTGTGTGTGTGTGTGTGTGTGTGTGTGTGTGTGTGTATACGTGTCCATAAGTAAACTATGGCCTAGGGTGTCCAGTGTTCCAGTAGGGGAGAAGCTGAAAGATCCAAGACTCAGTCTGAGTCATGTGTCTCCCTGCTGACCTGTGAGCTGTTGAGCTTTACAGTGATAGAAACTATTGCAGGCTCCCTTGCCAAACCGTGGCTTTTCTCAGCTTCACAAGGCCTGTGCCAAGGAGAAAGGAGAGGCCAGAGGCTGCCTTGATGCCCCAGGCACACACCTTTCTGAAAACATGAAATACTAGCCAGCAGCAGCAGACATACCAGGGAAGATGAGAGCATGCAGAGCCAGTACTCAAAGACATCTGGTCCTGTGGTCCCCAGGCTGCATCCGGCTCCAGCAGAGGGCCTGTCATGGGTCCTGCTGTGTCTCTGCAGGCTCCAGCACCAAGCCAGCCTTCTCGATCCCTAGCCATCGTCTTACTCCCATGGGGAAAGAGGTCTTCTACCTGCCCTGGAAGAGGACAGAGAACCGATTTCTGTTCTTTTAACTCCTTAAAAATTCTTTCTAAACATGGAGTGGTGGACCTGGTTTGTATCTGGCCGAGCTGCAGTCCTGGGTTTGAGATGCATATGGAGGTGCTAGGGTACAGGGGAAACAAATGTCCAAAGCAAAATGTGTGTCTCCTTGCTTGTAGATCCTGAAAGTGCTCTTCAGGGATTCTGTGCTGGTGCTGATGCAAGGACATTAGCTCCAAAGGACGGGAAGGGTTGCTAGGCTGCTGCAGCCCTCCTGTTGCCCAGGCAGGCTCTGTGTTGTGTCTCCCTTGGTGTCCTGTCCTAGTTGTCTCGTCTGATCTAGCCTCTGTCCTTCCTGGCTGTTCTCTTCCTCTCCAGGGCCTTGGGAGAACTACTTTCCCAGGACTGAGGGGTTGCAGGGCTCACTGTCATTTGTTTGCCAAATGGGCAAATGCCTCCTGCCTCTGGTGTAATAGGACCAAGCAAGGTCCTCACAGACCTGCACTCTGGGCTCTCTAGGTTCTCCATCTTAAATGCTTTAGATGAGTCGCAGAAAGGACGCTTCCGAGAGTTGAAAACGGAAGGGAGGTGCTGCTCTGTTCCAGCACAGGGGGCCCCTGAGGTGCCTGCCCCACCTCAGCATCACTGCCTTAATTGAGTCCTGCCCCTCTTCTCTGAGCTGGGTGGAGTTCCTAGCTGCATCTCTGCTTTCCCTGGAGGCAGGTGCCAGCATTGTGAATTGTTCAGGTGTGGTCACCGCCCACTCAGGAGCCGTACAATATTATTTTAGTTTCCACCCTCTAGGTCCTGCCTCAGGAACTAACCATTTTGAGAAATCCTGGTGGTGGAGCTTGGTGGTGTGAGTGGAAACTGTCTGGCACCTTCTAGCATTATGCAGTCTTCCTTCCTTAGTCCAAGACTGTGGCGCCTTCTCTTTTGCTTTGGTGATGCAGCGGAACAGACTCTCCAAGCTCAATGCCCAGCATCATTTGCTGGTGCCTGTGGGATCCTGCCAAGGTGATGGGGAGGACTCCAGGTGCTAGCCAGGAGCACAGGAGCTTGGTTGTGGCTTCAGATCCAGGTCCTGGTCTCACTGCCACCCTAACGCTACAGGAGGGGGTTCTCTCACAAGGCCTGCTCTGAGGGCTAGTCCTGATTAAGCAATAAGAGCTTCAGAGTTGAATATCAAGGTCCCTTTCTGCCCACTTCTGTGTCTCCATGTTTTACCTTGGAGAGGAAGAAGAGCCTGCACTCCACCATCTCTGGTAGGCATATGCAAGGACTAGAGTCTTGAGTCTTGACCAAAACCCAGTGCGGCTTCACGGAAGAGCCCTGCTGCTTCTACAAGGAGCCCCAGCTTTCTGGGCCTGTCTGTCGTCAGAGCCCCTCCCACCTGTAGTCCGCTACCACGAGGCCATCCTCTCTTTCCAAACCTAAAGACCTGTCCTGTTTGCTAGTTCCATGTCTTAGGGGCAGGCGATGGTTGGGAGGTGCTGCTCAGAGAACTCAGGCAGGCACACAGCAGGGCAAGGCTGGGGGGAGCCAGCTCATCCTGAAGTCTGTCGCCAGGCTTGCCACAGGCCTTCCCATTGCAAACTAGTCTTCAGGAGTCAGTAGACCACCCACTCGAGCCATGCCAGGAGTCCGCCCAGCTGTCAGGTTCAGCTCTTTAAGGTGCCTCTTCAGGGACACAGTGTGTCTCTCTGATTGGGCTTCTAAATCAAAAGCCTGATGTTCGTGTCCCTCTTATAGGGGGAGCTTTGGACACAGGACCAGTTTGTTAAAGGGCCAGGTAAGGGTTTCCACTCTGCACATTGTAGAGGGGACGCTGTAGGCCCGTGGGTCCCTAATTAAAGAAGTTGAGTGAATTTGCCTTCATTTAACCAGGGACCTGTTTCACTCCCTCCTGCCTCCCAAAGATTTCTGTGTAAATGTGTAGCCCCTCTGTTAACAGTGGCTCAGAAAAGCTTCGTACTAAAAGCATGGGGCTTTCAAGACAGCTGTTCTCTGGGAAATGGATCCTCAGCGATTCCATGCCCTGCCCTGTTCCAGAGGCCTCTTGGCAGTGCAGCCCGAGTGTGTCAGCCTGGCTAAGTGTGAAAACGGTTAGCCTGTTTTCTCTTTGGGCTACTTAACTATGGCTACTTCTCAGTTCCTTTTTTTATATACCTTAGCTTTATTGTTTTTTGTTTTTCAGACAGGGTTTTATGAATCCAGGCAGGTGTTTGAACTCACTGTTTAGCCAGGGATGATCTTGAACTTCTGAGTGCTGGGATTCTAGGTGTGGCCACATACTGGCTCATGTGGTGCTGGCTCAACCCAGGGCTGCATGCATGCTAGGCAGGTGCCACCAACTGAGCTACACCCTAGCTCCCCTTTTGTCTCTTTAGAAAATAGAGGTGACAGGTCTGGCCAGCTGTCCCACCCCACACCTTCAGTGCAGGGTCAGTTCCTGGGACAGCCCCTCTCAGACTGGTGATGTTCTTTGTCTGTAATTACCCCAGATTTGCCTATTTCTCCTTTCAGGATGCCATTTGGAGGGGAGGGGTCTGCTTCCCACTGTGACTGGGCTATGGGATCCTTGACCACCCTGCTTCATGATTTGATACATTTGTTGTATTCAAAAACTTGAAATGTAGGATGCCATTAAGAGTCTGTTTATATTTTTGGAATATTTGTATTACTTACAATTAATTAATAAAGGCTGGTTTTAAAACCTGTACAAGAATGGGAGCTGCCTTCCTTGCCACCGCTGCTTCTGTCACTCTGTGGGCACTGTTCTTCCCATATGACCTCTTTGGTCATGAAGCTGTAGCCCCCAGCAGAACACGCACTGGGTTTCTGATCAAGGTTATAGGGGTTGGACTACATTAACTCTTCTTCAGCCTGATTTAGGGCCAACTCCTTCATCTCCGGGTGCTTAACAAGCATATGCTTGGTGTCCTATTGACTGCAGGGTTTAAACTGGAACCCTAGGGGATTTAATGCTCCATGCTCCTCTGTTCATTCTTGATGGTGCCAAACCAGGAGCCCTGGAGTTTCCTGGAGCATAGTAGGATGGGAAGTAAAGACGCCAAGAGATAAAGCCTTGCTGGCACCACAGAATCCCTGAAACACGGCCAGCACCATCTCGCAGAGCCCCAAGCATGCAGTGTGACACTGAAGAATCCCTGAAAAACACCCAGAACCGTTTCTGACAGGGCAGCCCGCCATCTGAATGTCCAGGCACACAGTGGGCAGCTCTAGCTGTCTTCTGTCATCAGCATAATGCATTCATATCTACAATATGGCAGATTTCATATCCTCCCTTTCGCTGAATTATTGATGGGCTGTGCACTTAAAAAAAATCAATAGACCAGGGCGTGGAGCTTGAAGGTCTGCTCCTCTTGTTTTCTCTGTTTTGAATAGGAGCAGAGAGATAAAGCTTTCCCTCTGGTTTGAATAAGTCAAGCCCAGGGCTAGCTTGGCTATGATTGGCCAGAGCTAGGAAAATGTGGTTATGATGCAAACACAAGCAAATATATCCCGGCGTCTGTGCAGCCATTGCTGAACTGAGGCAGCAGGACCTGAAGCCGCCTGTTTTTGCGGAGTAGCTCATCAGTACTTCACCCGCTGCTTTGCCAGCAAACGGAGAGGGTGAGGTAAGTCTGTTGACTGTATACTTTCTGTACTCAGATGCTGAGTAGATACGGCAGAAAGTGGAGGATTGGTGGGCCTTGCTTTGCTTTTGTCCTCTGGAATGAAGCTGTTGAAAAGATTGAGCCAGGAGTTTGTGGCCAGAGCTTTGTAAACTTACTAGAGGAAGTACCTGTAGAGCCCACTGAGGAAGTTGAGCACGTTGGGGGAGGGGGGGAAGGACCCCCCCAATCTGTTCCTCTGTGGAGCAAGAAAAGTTTAAACCCCAGCAGATTACAAACCACTAGCTTTTAATTTGGGATCCCCAAACCACACCCTGTGCCCCTGATCTTCGCAGCCCCCTGAGGATCCTAAAGGGCTGATGACTGGGACTTGAGAAGAAAGGGATCCAGCTTTGGGGCACTTTGCTGTGGAGGGTGGATTTGCTTGGCCTTCTGGGTGTGGACAGCTCCTGGATTTTGAAGTCGGTGGGGGACATGGTGCTGTATTGGGGGTTCTGAGACTCCGTGCTAATGCCAGTTGGTTAGGCTTTACTGGATTAATCGGGAATATATTGGCTCTGGTTCCCTTTGCTGAGTGGATCAAGCAAAATTTAGAGCCTGAAGAAAACCAGTGTTTCCTGGTGATTCTGAGCCGCGAAGGGTGGGGCAGCACAATTTATCAAATTAAATCCTCAAACACTGGCAGTTCCGCATCATGGCTCTGCCTTAGTCTGCTGCCAGCTGCGCACAAAGGGACCTGGCTCTTTGGTGGTCATGGCACAATCCTCCCCAAACCCGGTTTTGTCCACGAAAAGAATGGTCACTTTCCTTTAAGGGGTGGGGTGACACTATTGATGACAAATGGTCCTACCATTTGAACTACACCCCATCCCAGATGTGCTACACTTGACCAGCCCAGCCCAGTATACCACCAGATAGCAAACATCCACACAATCCCCCCCCCCCCCCCCCCCCCCCCCCCCCCCCCCCCCAACTCCCACCCCCCCCCCCCCCCCCCCCCCCCCCCCGGCAGTTAACTTTGCTTATTAATCTCTCATAAATCCACCCATCCCATCCCTACTTTGAGTCTAGTAGTCATTTGGGGAACTGTCAGCCCAGTCTCCCTGAGAGCAGGACTTGAGGGCGGCACGTACACAGGTCCAGGGTAACCCTGTGTGTGTTAACCAAGCCACATCTGATCGTAGAAAGGGTCCCCAAGGTCTCCAGAGCATTTCCTCCCAGCCTTCCTCAGCCCTGCAGGTGCCTGGCACCTCCAGGCTCGCTAAGTACAGGTGGGAGAGAAGCTGGGGTAGGGGCAAGGAGGCCACACCCACCTGCCCCCATTGGCACCCTGAGCCTTGTCCCAGGCTCTTATCCTACTTTTCTTGTCTTTCTGCAAGACCAGCTAATGCGTTAGTCATAATAAAGGCTAGAACTGTTGTAGACAGTTTACAAAATTAAAAGCCGAGAGCAGGTGGGGTTACAAGATCTCACCAGGAACCTGGGAAGAGCAGTTCATGGACTAGGAGGCCGTGGCTTCTTTCAGAAACACTGTTTCTCACTGGATCTCCTCTCTGTGAGCCACTGAACTTAGTTTGGGGGAAGGGGAGCAGGCGTGGAAAAAATGTCTAAAACAGGCTTTCACAATCAGATATGAAGATATGAAAATAAAAGGTATGGAGCTGGGTCTAGTGGTAGAAGTCCGTAACCAAAGCAAGTCAGGAGGCCAAGGCAGACTCTGCGACCACCTGGGCTATGTGGAGAGACCCTATGGACAGAACAGATGTCATTCTAGTGTGTGCTCGTAGACAAGTTAGTTCCTACCTCTTCAGCCCTCATTTGTGCTAGGACGTGACAGGGCCACTGCCTGGGCATGGCACAATGTGTGCAAAGTGAATCAAGGCAGGCTTGACATCACCCCCTGCCCCCAACAGAGAGAGATGCTGCTCTTCCAGAGAGCCTGACTTTGATTCCCAGCACCTGCTTAGTTGGCTCACAACCACCTGTAACTTCAGCTTCAGGGACTCTTAACACCTCTGCCTCCCAGGGGCACCCACAGCCCCATGCACACACCCACCAACACACAGATCGCTATCAGCTAGAACTCTCGACCAGGGAGCAGCAGGTGGAAACAAACCTCTGGACGCAGGGCTGGTCCAGCCGGATCATCACTGTGATCTTGAACTACCATCTACCGCGGTGAGATGGTACTGGGCGGAGGGCACCAAAAGGGCATGCAGCGCATGGCTGATGCGACGGAAGTCTTGGGAGAAGCGGCGGTTCCCTGTCCACTGTGAGGGGTGTCACCTCTGGCTTTGTGATATTTCAGTTCCAGGAAGACACTATGTCCCTGAGCAGTGCTTTCAGGGCCGTGGGCAATGACCCTGGGATCATCACCTGGAGAATTGAGGTGAGCCAAATGGGAATTCACACCCACCCTGACGACTGGGATTCGAGCCTGTGGCCTCTGAGGGCCAGCATCAAGGGCAGGTTTTCCCAGCCTTGTGCTCAGGGCAGGTCCCCAAACAGAACCAAGCTTGTCCTTCATCCAGCCATCTGCTTGGTGAGTCTGCACTTCCAGTAAACACCTCCGAAAGATGTTTACCTTCCCCAGAGATTCTTGGCGGCTGGTCGGAGAAACGGAACATAATCATCATAGGAACACTGGTCCCTACCAGTTTGGGGGGGGGGCACGCTGCACAGATGGCCATTGCTAATCCCTTTACCCTGTGGGTTTGGTCTCCTCTGGGTGGCTCTGAGCGCTGGTCTGGGTCACCTACCTGATACAGGACACACCCACGTCTACCTAGTCAGTTGCAGCAGCTAGAACACCACAAGTAACACGTCCCTGCTCAATTCCAAAGTGTGAGTCACTGCTTTCTGGCGAGCCTCCAAGAGGCTTGTGGGAAGCCCAGCCTACTTCCAGTGTTTAAGGCTCCCTCCCCATTGACTTCAAAATGAATAGGAAGGGCTCGCCAGGTGGCTCTTGTGCAGCCAAGTCTGGAGCTGAGTGTAAGCCCTGGGACTCACACAGTGGAGGAAGAGAACCGACTCCCTCAAGTTTCTCTGCCTTGTAGTGTGGCTCTTGGGCACACCCGATAAATAAATGGAAAAGAGAGAGGGGAATAGGCACTAAACTGGACTCATCAAAGGTTATATATATCTAATCTTTTCACACTTAACATCCAGATTTTACACAGAACTTACACAAATATGACTGTAGGCTTGCCTTACTTGAGAAGAAATTGTGTCGTTTTCATGTGAGGCTGTGTATATGGCCCTCCTAGAATGAGCAGATCAGGGAGAGCCCCAACTCGGGCTCTGAGTGCAAGACACTCCGCCTCAGTACCACCAGCTGCTGGCTCTCTCCTTGCTGTTAGCCTCCCCTTTGCTCAGCTTCCCAGACTTCCTTTGAGCAGCCTGGTGGCTCTAAGTCAGTGGGGGAGCTGAGGGTTGGCCAGAGGAGGGGCTTTTACTTGACAGTTACACCCAGTTCTTTCCCTTCCATGGGCTTGCCTGGTGGGGGGGGGGGGGGGCTCACAGGCCTTCCCAGAGGACTAGGGATGAACAAGCAGGACACCGGAAGACAGGAAGGACACCGGGAGGACACCACAGCAAATTCGGAGCCAGAGGGATTAGTGGCAAGCTCCCAGTCAGAGCAGCAGGCCTGTGCTGTGTTGGCCACCTGCCCCGCAAGGCTGTGGCAACAGCTCTTCCTCCATCCGTGCCCAGCGGCAGAGAGGGAGGCTGCAGGGAAGGCGGGAGGCAGTATGCCTGCATACTCTTCTAATCCTTGTAGAAAATGGAGCTGGTGCTGGTGCCTCAGAGTGCTCATGGCAACTTCTACGAGGGAGACTGCTACGTCATCCTTTCGGTGAGCAGCGTCTTCCACGTGCAATACTCCTTCCTCAGCAGGCAGTTCCCAGGCCTGTGAGAAAAGCGGGCGCCTGTGTCTGTCTAGATTCTCCCTCATGGCACGCAGAGCCTCAGGCTGACAGAATGGCCACCACCAAGTCTGGGGTTGTGGTTGTGCATTAGAGGGTAGGCACAAGCCCCTGCCTCCGACACACACACACACACACATACACACACACACAGCGCCTCCCCCTTCCACGGTCAGCCACACACTGAAGTGTTCTGATTAAGGCCACACAAATACACAACCTATTTGTGGCCACAAAGTTCTCATTGTGAGCTAGGTAAGAGAGTTTCTGTTGCTGTGATAAATGTCCTGACCAAAAGCAGCTTGGGGAGGAAAGGGTTTTACTTCATACAGCGTGGCTTTTATTTTTCTATATCCCAGGGCCACCTGCCTAGGGTTGGCACCACCTGTAATGGGGTGGGGCCCTCCACCTGTAGTGGGCGGGGCCCTCCCACATCAATCACCAGTCAAGAAGAACTAAGCAGGACAAGTGGTATAGGCCTATGATCATGACGCTTGGGAAGCTAAGGCAGGAGGACTCCCAACTCCCAGGTTAGCCTGGGCTACCTAGTGAGTTCTTGACTAGCCCGAGATATACACAAAAACCGAAACAGTGGAGCATGGTGGCCCCCTCCTACAATCCTAACACTTGTGTGTGAGGTGAAACCGAAAGATTGTGAGTTTAGGGCCAGCCTCAGAGAGTTTGAGTTAGCTTGGGCTACACAATAACGTTTTAAAAAGTGTTCATTCTGGCGGAGGAAACAACACCTCGCATGGACAGTGCTGGCAGCTGCACGGTTGTTGAGTGCAGGGGACCTAAAGACTAAGCCTGCAGTACAACTGGGGAAAGAGTCCCCACTTTGGGAACAAGCTGCCACCTTCCGCCAATGTGGGCAAGCAGGCCTGTAGATGGGACGAGCCGGCTCTAGTGCCCACGTACGGATAGCAGAGGGCTGTGTGCCGGGGAAATCGGCAGAGCGGCAGACGGGAGTGTGGGCCTCACCCGCCTCTCCGGCTACCTCCTAGACCCGGAGAGTGGGCAGCCTCCTCTCCCAGGACATCCACTTTTGGATCGGGAAGGACTCCTCCCAGGATGAGCAGAGCTGTGCTGCCATCTACACCACACAGCTGGACGACTACCTGGGAGGCGGCCCCGTGCAGCACCGCGAGGTCCAATACCACGAGTCGGACACCTTCCGGGGCTACTTCAAGCAGGGTGTCATGTGAGTAGCTATGCGCGGAGAGACGGACGCAGCTGTTTCCGAGAGCGGAAACTAAAGGGTCGGTAGGCCTTGGAAGAGACCAGAGAGACCGAAGCAAAGAGCAAAGCAGAGCAGTCACCCGTGCCCATCGGGGTGGGGCGGGGCCCAGTGCTGGGCGGGCTGAGGACCCGCATTGCATGCTGGAGCATAACTAGGGCTGCTGAGGCAAATTCATTTCTCAGAACTCTAAACCCCTGACACACCTAGGGCCCTGAGTGTGTGTGTGTGTGTGT